GGCTAGACCCAGAGGCTGCTCGAACCCGCTGCTTAGCGAGGCTGGTTATTATAGAAGTCTTGCTGTAGAAGGTCCTGAATATTGTTGAGTTCAAATTTACGAAAACAGAACTGCATAACCTGGGTGATCCACACTAATGATTGTGTAGCCGCTGCCTGATATTCAGACTTTGCGTCTTTTCCGTTATAGAATGCAGCCAGTTACCGAGAAATGATTTTGAAGATAATTGGCAGTGCGGCCTAGCATGTATCTCATATCTTAGTAGTGGGCAATGGGACTGTGATGTTGTTGGCGAACTCAGAGGTCATATTATCCCTGAATATCTGCAGAAATATTGTACAAAACTTCTAATATGCCCTCTATTGGCTTTCAAATTTAGACCCATATCCCTGAAAGTCATAAGAAAAAAATTAACTACAAAGCTAATTTTTTTGCTAATTATTTTTTGAGGCACGCCCGCCTACTTTTTAGGGCCGATGGTTTAGCAGACTTGATTCATATAACGGTATTCAAATTAATTTCTATTCGTTGCTGTTGTATAATGAACAAGTTGAGTTTTAGTTAATAATTTTTTCATTTGCATGATTTTTTAGAAACGATACGAGACAGAAAATGAAATCTAGATACTTCGAAAACCCTGAATACAATTATGAAAAAGTCAATAGAGCCAGTCAGGCCTGCGGACCAATGGTGAAATGGGCGTTGGCGCAGGTATGGTTTATTCCGCCTTTATGTTGTTTCTAGTATCGTTACTTAACGAGTATTTTTTTCCTTATTGTCTGTTACTTGTTTTTTTGCTTATTTCGTTGTTGTACTTGCTGTTGTAGCCTGTTGTTATTTAGTCTGCAATTATTTTTCATAGTTTGAAAGTCAGACGGTTATTTCTAACGTCATTCTTAATAGTGTCTTACCAGTGAGTCATGCCAAAGGCAGTTTAGTGTTTTCTCGACTAACTACGAATAGTGAGACATCAGATAATGTATCAGAGTATAATACCATTCAAAGTACAAAATATGGTTTATAGCATAATGCAGCCTAGATAAATCTGCAAGAAGGAATTTTCTCATGACCACCCTACTGGTAGCTTCACGGTTTAGCATAAAACTCGTACTTTGCGAAAATCCCTGAAACTGCATTTTTCCTAATTCCTAAACTCTCAGCTGGCCTAATTGTTCACTAGTATGCTATACGCGGAATGGTAACGTCATTTTCTCCCAGTAACCTTCAGCGTAGGCAAATCATGTTGTCATGTCGCCATTGCTTTCTCTGCAGCTTTTGGACTTTGGGATATTTTGCTTAAGATCCTGTGTGTAGCAATAACGGTAGTTTGGAGTGCAGCATTATGCTGTATATGAATTCATCATTAAAATAGGTTACTCTGCTGTTTAGTCTCTTTTACTCGTAGATACGCTGAAAACATAACCTTGAGCAGGGGAACTATCACAAAAATGACAGTAACTGTGAAAGACAGCTGTGCCGAAAAAAATTCTGTTTAAAAGTTTATTCTTCGTTTTGCATAGTTGCTACAGTTCCGAAAGTCTGTTTCAGACTTCAGAATGCATACAGTTCTTTCTCACATTTGATGAAGATTTCTGCTCTTTCTTTATCGTGGTGATTCGAAATTCGATGGACTGTTAAATTTTTAGATAAATTTTTCTGATATGTTACATAAAGTCGAGCCGTATCGAAACGAGTTGAAAAATTTGGAGAGGTACGCTAACGACAACAAGAAGAAGTGTGACGAAGTAAATGACGTCATCAGCCAACTGGAAAAAAGCATATCATCTTACAAAGAAGAATACGCGGTGTTAATCAGCCAGGCTCAAGCCATCAAGAACGATTTAGCAACTGTCCAGGCTAAGGTAATGCTTGG